TTAAAGAAACAATTCCAACGCGACGAAGAGGGCGAAATAACGTAGGAAAATACACAAAAAAACAAACAGGGTACTTACCACCTGTCCCACGTGCGCAACCTTGTCGATCTTCTGATGTCCCTTTGAGTTTGGGAAAAGACCCTTCGCTGCGTTAGGGTCTTGGAACGAAAACTGGAAGAGAAAGATAAATGGAAGTGAAAAAATGAACGATCTTCTGATGTCCCTTAGAGTTTGGGAAAAGACCCTTCGCTGCGTTAGGGTCTTGGAACGAAAACTGGAAGAGAAAGATAAATGGAAGTGAAAAACAGAAAGAAAGGAAAAATGTAACTAAGTATTTAGCTTAGAAATATGGGGTTTGTTCTATCTCGTAGTTTGGGAAGAAGTACTATTGACACGTACTTTGTGTATTGTGTTTAGAAACGTGTGTATTTGTATCTAGAAACGTAAAGTATTTTACGTACTGTATTTATTTTTATTACTGTGTTTCATTTTTGTTTATTGTATCTATAAATGTCAGGTTTGAAGTATTTTGTGGATTATTTTCATGTATTGTATTTATATTTATTATTGTAGTGCATTTTTGTTTATAGTATTTAGAAAAGTCGGGTTCGAAGTATCTTTGTAGTGTATTTGAAACTATGGGGTTTGAAGTATTTAATCATAACAGTTGAATGACTATTGAGACATCAAGGGCTTGCTTAATATGTGTTAAAATGACAACGAAATAATAACAGTATTATTACTGTACCTTAAAAGCTTTTGTGAATACGATTAAAAATTTGCCTTTTTCGGAAAACGTTGTACTCTATTTTATCTATTCATTACATATGTATGTTTGTTTACTTAGTTTTTATTTTCGCACAAACAGTAATAGTTTTCATTACTTCTTTCTCTCTGTCTCTCTCCCCTCCTTCTCCCCCTCCCTTCCCCTATCTCCTTTTCCTCCCTTCACCTTCTCTTTCTCCCTCCCTCTTCTCCTTCTTCCACAGATTCGAAATGATAGCAAACTTAAGGGAAAATGGGAATGGGAACACACACACACACACACACACACACACACACACACACACACACACACCATATACATTACATATATATATATATATATATATATATATGTGTGTGTACGTCCGCACGCGCGCGCGCCCCTCATACACCTGCGCCCTTTCCCCATAAACACACGCGTTCACATTCCTTCATACACCCAAGGACACACAATCCCCTTGAAATAACCCTTCAGAAACGAAGGAAAGATTGCAGTACCGTGACTCTCAACTTCCTATCGAGTGCATAGTTCACGACAAAGAAGGAATGTGGAGAAAAACGCCCACAGAGTGCTCATAAAAAATAGAATCTCATCGTAATAATGAAAGAGCAGGCGCTGTGGCATCTCGTTTTAACATTCCTGGTCGGTAGTGCAAATCATATTTCGCAGTGAGGCCAGGTCTTGATTGAACATTTTATAATGACTTTCGTGTTTTCATAATATTGATTGTTCATTATATATATACATAATAATAATAACTGTAATCGTAATAATAATAATAATAATAATAATAATAATAATAATAATAATAGTAATAATAACAATACTAATAAGAATAATGAAAATAACATCATTAATAATAATGATAATAATAAAATCATTAATAATAATGATTATAGTAACAGTAATAATTATATTGATAATAATATTATCAATAATAATAACAATAAGAAAGCAACAAACAACGATTACAACCATAATAATCAAATATAAAAAAAGTAATAATAGTAATGATAATAGTAACAATAATATTATAATTACCAGTAATAACAACAAAATAATAATAATAACGATAAAAATAAGACATTTGAAAAATAATCATAAGAATATCCAAATATTTTGACTTTCCTCCATCTGGAAATTCCACAAAAAAAAAGCCCCAAGTGGCACCCTCATCAGCTGGAAATGTCCCTGACCAGAAGACCAAGCTTTTAAGACGCCCCCCCCCCTCCCCCCCCCCCCATTGGCACTTGCGCAAAGGTCTTCCATATGCCAAGATCAACACCCCCCCTTCCCCCTCCCTCCCCCTTTTTTCGTAGGTCAAGAGACAGTTAAGAGTTTTGACGTTTCCCTAAACCCCCCCTTTTCATCATCTCTTCTCCCCCACCCCTTCTTCCAAATGTCGACTTGACCTAAATCTTTGTAACTGGATAAATGGATAAGATAATTGCTTTGGATAGTAAGTGGATAATTTGTTTTGGATAATAATGAAAATTGCTTTGGATAATAAAGTGGATAATTGTTTTGGATAATGTAATAAAATGTATGTTTATATGGTATATAGTGGTTGATGTCATTACTATAGACTGTCATTATTAGTATCTTGTTGATAGTAATGATAGTAGCAATGATAATGTTGATAACCATGACAATAACAATAACAACAATAAGATAATAACAATAATTATGTCTATTATTACTACTGTCATTATCATCATCACTATCATCATTATCAGCATCATTACAATTACTATCATTATTCTAAAAACAATAATGATGATAATGATGATGGTGGCAATAAACAATAATGATAATCATAATAGCAATAGTAATAACAACGAAAATATAGACATGATAATAATGATTATCAATATAATAATAATAATAATGATAATAAAGATAGCAAAATCCCTAATAATGATGATGATAAAATGACAAATGATAAATAAGGATAATGATAAAGCATGAATAAAACAATGTAAAAAGATAAAAAAAATATAAATAACATGAGCAGAAAAAGACAGAAAATATAATAACATCAATGATAGTTATATATCAATGATGATGAAAATAATTAAACAATATAGTGATATTAACACAAAAAAATAATAATAATAAATAATAAACAAAATAAATAAATAAAAAATAAAAAAATGCGTAAATAAGACAATGTTAAAGATAATTAACAGTTTTACAAGGTTAATTCAGACTTAATGAACATCTTAGGTTCTAAATTTTGCAACATTAAAATTCATTAGGAGGACGATATATTTTCTCTCTCTCTTTCTCTCTGGAATTGTTTTAATAAGATATCAGTAAATGAACAATACGCTTTTGTTCACATGCACACGCCACACGCACAGACACAGATGCACACACACACACACACACACATATACATATACATATACATATACATATACACACACACACACATACACACTACATAAACATCACACACAAATGAATAAATAAATAAATAAATAAATAATTAAATAATAATAATGAAATAGATAAATAAATCGACAATACTCTAAAGATTTCTCAACATTCCAATGAAGTGCTTCGGTTAGGAGCTTTCCATAATTATCAACATTTTGAAAAGCTCCACAAAAAAATGTTCTCTCTTTAGCACCTATCCCCCCCCCCTCCTCTCCCTCTCCCTTAAAGAACACTCTCGAGATATTTCGAATATTAAAGAGTATATATATAGAGAGAGATTTTTTGTTTGTTTGTTTGTTTATTCAAATTTTCAAAAGCGCCCGTGAACCGTTAACCGTCGTAATTCCTGCCTCTTTTGCGTGTATGGTTTGAACCTTTTGAAAAAAAAAATGTCGCCCTTAACTTTTGAAATAATTTAGATGTGATGTTTCCTAATGATTTCAATTTTGGTTTGATTTCTCTATTTGGTTATGCACTTATTCACAAATTGATGCATTTTATCATTTAAAAATGATAAAAATGTTTTCACTTCATTATCATTGTCACAAATTGATGCATTTTATCATTGGTATAAAATATAAAATGTTTTCACTATCATTATTATTGATAAAATCACTAACACCATAAATTATCCATAGTTATAATAATTATTGTTATTATTTTTTTTCCTATTATCATTTTTATCTATCTATCAAATTCATTTTTTGGTAAGAAAAAAATAATATTGAATTATATTTGTATTATTGAATATGTATACTCTTGACTGTATGAAAGTACTTTACAACTGACTTAAAGAAAGATAAATTAATGAAAGAAACATGAAAAGGGAACTGGAAAAGGAGTTAATGATCGTGCATACAAAGGGACGAAAATAATGAAAGGAAATATCAGAAATACGATAAAATAAACGGAATATACGAAAAGATTATAGCTAAAAAGAAAAAAAAACAAAAAATACATTCAAAATAAGCGACATTACAGCACTAAAACAACCGACACAGAATAGAAAAGATTAGAGGGAAGAAGGAAGAGAAGAAGAAAACGGGGAAGAAGAAGAAGAAGAGAAAGTAGAAAAAGAAAAAGAAGAGAAAGTAAAAAAAAAAAAAAAAAAAAAAAAAAAAAAAAAAAATTTAGTCCGACATTAATAAATGACTTTCCAATAGAAATTCAAAAATCCATTAATAAATAGAAGCTGAATATATAAAAATAAATCAGCATCGAACTGAGGCAGTGGAACTCACGCCTCCTGAATGAATCCATTTGGCTAAACATAGAGAGAGAGAGAGAGAGAGAGAGAGAGAGAGAGAGAGAGGAAGAGAGAGCGAAGAGAGAGGAGAGGGAGAGAGAGAGAGAGGAGAGAGATGGTGGGGTGGGGAGGAGGGAGTGAGGGAGAGAGAGGAGAGGAGGGGTGGGGGGGGGAGGGAGGAGAGCGAGAAAAAAAAACGACATTGCTTTCAATATAAAATTAACGCTGACTTAATCCATTCCTCTTTCAACCTGAAAATTAATCGCGTATTTGTCGTGTGTTTTCAATCTCATTTCTTTGACAGATATGGAATTATTTGGCAAAAGCGAAGAGATACATGTGACAATTTTCTTTAAAGAGAAAGACGAGGTGGTGGTGTTTAATGGGTCATCGCACTACACTGTTTGTTACTTCGCTATTTGTTGTGTGTGTTAAAGAGAAAAAGAGAAGAGAGAGAGAGAGAGAGAGAGAGAGAGAGAGAGAGAGAGAGAGAGAGATGAGAGAGGAGAGAGAGAGAGAGAGAGAGAGAGAGAGAGAGAGAGAGGAGAGAGGAGAGAGATGGAGAGAGAGAGAGAGAGAGAGAGAGAGAGAGAGAGAGAGAGAAGAGTGAGTGAGTGAGAGGAGAGAGCAAGAGAGAGAGAGTGAGTGAGTGAGTGAGTGAGTGAGTGAGTGATGAGAGTGAGAGAAGAGAGAGAGAGAGAGAGAGAGAGAGAGAGA